TTCTGGTTTTTCTCCAACAAATTCTGAATTTTCTTCCTACTTTATTACCCATTAACTGATTATCTATTGATAATTCATTAATTTGTTAAACCTGTTTGTGTTTCTTATTCTTCCATTACTTACTACTTGAGTAAGTATTGGAAGAAAATATAGAAACACGTACAGTGCGACCAGGACCAGAATTTAACTTAAAACCTAATTTTCAATATATGACATATTTTCTGACAAATATTATTGACGGAGGTCAGTGAAATTTTGGTTGGCAAAGGAATCAAAATACTCAGCCTTATATACTTAAATATTTCAAATATTTTACTTATACTAAGAAACTAGACCAAAAAACAAATATTTAGATGACACAAAATATTTTCTTTACACAAACAATATTCTTGTCATGTGATAGCCATACTTCGGCGGATCTGGGTAGAAGTGATACTACCTACCTCACAGTAAACCAACAACTGGTAATTTTTTTAAATCAAATCACAGATATTGTTAAGTAACTTATTATTATAGTCCTCATTGACTTGTCTTTGGGGCTTTAAATTAGTTGCACGTACGAGTATAATACATTTCTATTCTACAACAACATCCAGATGTGGAACCAATCGAGAAGTGTAGAACTACCTTCTACTAGTACCAGTACAAAAATGTGTACTCGTTTGTATCTAAAAACATGTGTGTGTTTAATAAATAACAAATTAATTAAGGCAACACTAAAGTATTTTACTTTAATTTTGTTTCTTGTTATTGCTTGAAGTTTCTGTATTTTAGTCAGTGGTCATTCGCCAAAGAACCAATGCTGCTGAGAGTCGTACTGAAGTGTCAATGAGCTGACATTCATCGGATCCGTGAGTATCGACCATGAGTGTCGATAGCACATACCCTATCACGCACCACGTACAGTTGCCTGATAAATCTGATGAAGATAGACGCAATCTGAAAGCAGAAAGCACCGATTTGTTAATTGTTTTAAAGGTTTTTTAAATGCACAAATTAGAACATCTTACGTTTTCTCTTCTCAAGTCTGGACTGCACGGATGGCGTAGAAGTTTAAACGTATTATATACACGGGTTATCTTCTTCTGATAAATTTCGCTGAAATGAGTTCTGAGTTTGGTTATGGACAGTTAAATCAGTCGAAACAAATGTAAGATAGCTGTCTGTGAAAATTCAACTTGACTATCAATCTTCATCATCATTTCAGGCGAAATACGTCCACTGCTGCCTCCCCCAAAGCTGGCCACAAAATCCGGTGATTTTCAATAAGTGTTTTAAATTAAAAGATAAGAATAGTAAAAGTACAATTTTGTTGCATAGAGGCAAGTCTTCTCCTATATAAATAAAAATGAATGTGCACATTTGTTACCAAGCACAATACTTATTTGTGTATGAGAACTGGGCTAATATGGTAATTTTTTGATAGATCGACGTCTGTTAGATTTAATAAAATTTGTACTTTACTAATGAATTTTCCCGTTTTAGTCCGTGTGGTGACAGATTAAGAACACGGAATGTCACCACCCCTATTCATCCCGTGGGTTTCCTAAGAACCGACTAAGGGAGTAAACTATGCAGGACAACAACACTGCAAAGAGAAGGAAAACTTGACACAAACCCCATACCAACCCGTCGGCCAGCATGGTATAGTAGGCCCAAGCCTCCTTTCTAAGGAGAGGCCTATGTCAAGCAGTGGACTATTAAAGGCTTTTGATTGATGATGATAAATGAATTTTTCAGCTCTAATATTTTAAATTAGCACTGGCTTAATAATAAATCACCATTCAGATATGATGATTATTTAATTCTCTCACAGGAAAAAAATTAAAGTCATTTACGGATAAATAGACATAACATTTGTTCACTATACATACTATTTATATTATGAAATAGTGTCTTGTTTCTTGGAACTTAAAGTTTAATAAAATCTCACAAATATACAAAATTACAAGTGGAAGTGAAGTGTCTATTTTCTTTGTACACACTGGCACGTTCGGGATTTTAAGCCTGGAACGGGTTCACTAAGTATCTCTTAAGCACTAGGAAATATATGAGGACCACCAACATTGTGTGTACTTATCTCTTACTACAAACTTAGCATTGTAATAGTAAATTTCAAGAACACTTCCACTTTGTGAAAATTCAGTAAATAATCGTTTTTTTTATGGTATAACGAGGCAAATGAGCAGACGGGTCACGTGATGGTAAGCAACTACCGCCGCCCATGGACACCTGCAACTCAAAAGTCACAAGTGCGTTGCTGCCCTGGGGAGTCCCTCCCGCTGAAGTCAGTGGAAGGGGGGATTCAGGCTCCGGTAACCTCACTCACTCAGTCAAAGGCATCAAAAGAATTTCTGTGAGGTTGTGGTATCACTCCGGTAGAGCCGGCCCATTCGTGCCGGAGCATGGCTCTCCCACGGTCGTTTGGAAGAACTTTCAATGTAGTTAAACATTTTAATAAGTCCTTGACACTGCATGAAATTGCCAAAGTTTTTGCCTATACACACGGATATACACACGGATTACACTTGTAGTACATACGTAATAACTTGTAATATCTCACATACGGCCATCTGATCCCAAATTAAGCAGAGCCTGTACTATTAAAATAAATTATTATATCTTTATTCAGGTAATTTTACAAAGTTAGTTACTGCGGTCTAGTTAAAGTATGGTTACATCAAAGAATATACATGAGGCAGACGTCGGGTTGCCTCTCACCCTCAAATTATGTGTGTACCTGTGTTTTGAGTCGTCAGTGGTTTCTCGCTCTATTGTAAGTAGACTGCTGATAAACATACAAATATATTTTTAAATACAAACATGGTGTAGATAAATTTATAATAACAGACAGAAGGACTAGTAAATACTTTTCAATTGATAGTTACATCTTATAGATCATCGTTATAATAATATAACTAAATTCATTATTGGCCGAAGTGAAATTCTAATTTAGGTGCTGTCAAGGAAATCATAAAAATTAGTCATAACTGGTCCTTAGTATTAACTTTTATATTTAAGAAAATGCATAATTAACAAAACAACTATACGATACGGTTATAATAACATTATTAAATATTTAAACAAAAACGGTGAACGAAATAGAGAAGATAATTGACAAAACCAATTATTTTATCTGTATTTCTTTTCTTTCTTCTCAGACTATTTTCTTTTACACTCCTCTTTTATTTCTATAGTACTCTATATATTTTACTCTTCTTTTCAATGGTTCTTTACGTCTGCGTAATGGTCTTCTTAGTCTTCTAATACATTCACAAATATTACACCAATGAGAACAGCAAGGCCATGAGCAACAAACAATATGGCAAGTCCTTTCAATGCACTTTCTTATTTTATAACAAGCTTTATTTAAAAAACCATTGCAAGTGAATATTCTTTTTATCCTGTTCTTGGCTCTTTTTGACGTCATTTTTCAAGTTTTTTAATTGGTTTGTCACTCATCTTTCTATACCATTATTAATTTACCACAATCATTTTTTGCTAATATACTCCATTATAGCTGTAAAGGAAATGTGGTATAAACAACGAAAGATACTTTTACAAGAATGGTTTGATTAGAATTTGATGATTTTACAGCTCTGACAGTGCACTGTCATAGAACTTTTAATAATCAGATTAAATTTGAGCAAAGGAATCACTCTTTGCTTTTCAATGTAGTTCAGGACACAGAGTACAGTAATATTATTAGAGAGTTCAGGAGCAGAAAACCGTGATTGAACTTTTTTTTTCAATTGAAAAAGTTTGAGTAAAAGAATCAGTATAAGAGTAACTAAATATTAAAAGGGACCTGATACCAATTGAACTCGATTTAATGTCAATGTATGACTTGATCTGGCAAATAAAAACCAAAAAAAAGGTAAATGAAAGGTTTGAAAATTCGGCATGTGTGGTATGGTCTATTGAAATGTTACATTTTTTGGGCTTAGCGTGCATTTGTCACAGGACGTAATTTTATTTTTTAGATATCACGGAGGGGTTAGTGTTAAGTTAAAATTAAGTTTATGGGGTTGCAATCCTTAGGCAAAGAATAACGTTAGTCCAACTTCTGAAATAGTTGGACCATGACCCCTAGTAAAGACCCGAGTCCAACTAGTTGAACAGAGCGGTTTGCCCACTTGTGCCAAGCACTCCCGACGTTAAAAACTATTGCTTTATTAGTTGGATAACATAAAATAAAAAAAATGTATATATTAGAAACATGTAAATTGTATTTATTTTATCGTTCGACATTACAATATATTTACGTTAACACCACAACTAAGCGATAGGACAATGTCACAAAAACAGATACACAAATATATTTTTTTACAGTACAATTGCGAAAGTTTTGATGATCCTTAATGAAACACAAATCGATAAACACATAACACACTAGACACAAACAATTAAGCTTATAGTACATTCAAACAGTAAAATTAGAGTAAAAAAAAAAGTAAAATGAAATAGAAAACTATGTTTTATGCAGATTGTTACAGAAAAGTATGGTTATATTTTGGGATCGTATAAATATACCTGTAAATCACGTAGATACCAACAAATTTACGGAAATTTTAACACAACAATCTTATTAATAAAGCGCAAATTAAATTTTAAGATTGTCTATTATCTGATAAAGTTTTATATTTCATATGACAGAGGAAATAACTAAACGCAACACCAATAATATTGATTGAATGTATAGATTTTTCAGAAACTTCCACAAATAAGGTGTAAAATTAATCAGAAAATCTAAAATATTTTGTTTAGAAATATGCACGCACACAAAGCGTCACACCTATGTGAAGCATTTTCCTAGGATATAAAATATTTGCTACACAATACATTAAGTTAATAAAAAATTTACTACACATTTCTGTAACACTCTGAATGTATTATAAGTTGCAATATTTAAAAAATATATACGAGTTGATGATGATGCAGGCACGTTAAAGTTGAAAAAGGAAATACAGATCTCTAAAGTTACTGTTTGAAATTCTTCTTCAACAATTCAAACTCTCATCACTGCAAAGTTCGTAGAACTCCAACAGATCCGTGCCTGGGCGCGCAAAACTGAAGTATAGGAAATTTTTTGATACTCTGAAGGACAGCAGCATCAAAGAAGGTGTAAGCCGCACAGTCGCCAACTTGATCGTATCTTGTTTTGGGTAAACTCGCGATGGTGGTTGATCTCGACATTTTTCGTGATTGGATTGAGAGCCTCGATGACTGAAATTCAAAAGAGGTGATTTTAATGTACTTATTATGTTTGCTAGCTGATGTTTACGTCTTCATCTAAGTGTAGTTAATACTTAGATTAAAATAACATCATGTTGATAAAGCCTTTAATAGCCCACTGCTGGACATAGGCGTTTTCTTAGAAACAAGGTTTTGGTATACCATTTAGCTACAATTAAAATTTTTCGCACACTACACTTTTCACATCAAAAATGTCCCAAGGACTTTAACCGTGTTGGATTTGTCTTAAAAAATAACACCTCTCTCTTGTAATTATCACATTTAAAAGTATACGCAATCAGTAAATAAAACATCTTAGTTGTGTTTTATGAAATACAATTGATTGCTTACCAAATTTTTTTGAAAACACCAGAAATTTTGATATTCATAATGTTGATATTATTTGACAGACTAGAGAATTCAACGTCAAATCTGATAATTGACGTTCTTTTACCCGCTAAAGATTAAAACAAAATTGAAGCATTGGGAAACATGGCATCAATATTTTTTAACATACGTTAGAATGTTTTTCATTTATTATTTTATTTTTAAGTAGGTAGATTGAAATAGTTTATCGTTCATAGTAGTTTTTAACCAATTCCACTTTTATTTTCGACCGAATGGCGTTAGTGGTTTGTGTAACGGACTGCTATTCCAAAGGTCGAGGGTTCGATATTTATATCAGTTGTCTAGTAGCCATAGTACAAGCTCTGCTTAGTTTGGGACTAGATGGCGTTGTGTATAGAATATTATTATTATTTTATTTTCACTGTAATAACTCACCATTCCTTACAACATACGGTACTCTATCAGGGGCCAAGGCACCAAAATCGACCTGAACCGTTGGATGTTTAATTTTGTGTTGGACTTAACAAAGCCACTATTGTTAAGTCCAACACAAAATTAGACATCCAACGGTTCAGGTCGATTTTGGTGCCTGTAAGTTCATTATTAATACTGACACTCAAATGTTCTTAATTAACAAATTAAGTAGCAGTCAGATCTCACAAGTTTTTGTGAGGGAAAGGAAATGTGCTACAAGTCGAAAGACTTGAGTTTTTTAGTAACGGTTTGATGACAAATCTATTTATTACATTACATACATTTAAATTTAGTCCGTGTGGTGACGGATTAAGAATACGGATTGTCACTACCTGTACTCATTCCATGGGTGTCTTAAAAGCCGAAAACTTGACACAAACCTTTAAACAAACCCAAATCAAAGTCCAATACAAAGGAAGTTTTGGCCTACTATACTATGCTGAATTTAATGAAACTTATCGTTTGATCAAAAGAGGTCGACAATATTCATGTGTGTTCAGTATTTCATTACATTTGTGGGTGTAAACGTCGACGTTTTATTTTTTTCAATCGGCATTTTTAGGCGAGTTTAGTATTTAGGTAAACATTGTAAAGAAGTTGATTAATAAATATATAAAAAATAAAAATAAAATAAGCATCGTGCTTAGATATAATTGTATTTTTTAAACTATTTTTTGTTTTTGTATAATATTTTATTCATTATATCCCTATTTCATGGTTTCGTTTCTTTTATTTACTACAAGATGATCCATTGCTATTTTATTACTCTCCTTTTAGGTTAGTATAGTAGTAGTATAAGGTAGGTATAGTAATACGTAAGTAAGTACCTCGACCGAAGTAAACTTACCTGTAAAGCGTTTCAACTGAACCAAATAAGAATAGGCGGAGCAAAACTCCTTCCTGTCCAACCAACCTTATTTTGTAAGTAAAAATTTCGCCAACTTTTCTAACACTGTCAAAATAAATACAAGAAAAGATTTCCCAAACATTAGACTTTATGTAGTCGTTGACTCTCAAAATCTTCTGAACAACCATTTCACAAAATCCCCAAATCTTTAGCATTTTACGTGCATTTTTAAATAAATCTTGGAGGTGTCAAGACCATTTTATACAGGCACCGCATAAAGAATTTATAACCACGGCCCTGGGGGACTTATTTGTAGATTTGTGAAAAAAAAATCAAACTTTTAAATCGCAGGCCTGAAAGTTTTGCGCAGCATCGCTCCAGATGTTATTTACCTACATTTAAACTTTTAATAATTCCGTCTTCTTGCTTTAAACCTGGTAAGTTAAAAATTCATCTTAATACTGTTTTATTTCTGCGATTTCATCTTCCTGCCCTTATTGGACATCTTAAGCAATTGATTAGCTACATATTCTTCTTTTTATGGTGTTGGATTAAACGAGCAGAGGGGTCCGCAGTCCTCCGATAGTAAGTGACTACGACCCCTCATGAACACTTGCAACACAAGGAACAAATATACGTTCCCACCCTTTATGCGTTCCCTCCCTCAGAATTAATTGCTTGCATTATTCTTTTTTTAGGGAGAGACTATTTCTTTTTTTCTATGTCCAGCAGTGAACTATTAAAGACTGTTGATGTGATGTGATGTGATTTCTTCACATCCGTTTTTTTAAGTACTGTAGCATATCAATCTTTTCAGGATGATGACGTTCTTAAAATAAATTAGTTTAGTTTAGCTTTGGATTAAATTTAAATAAATGATAATTTAGTAAAACTAAATAAACGTGCTCTAATCTGCATTGAAAATTAAAAAAATCCTCTATAATAGTTTTATCATAATTCTATTTACCTCTTGAATTCATCATTTGAGAAAGAGAGTGAATCTGTTGGTCTCTAATAAGTGGATTATATGAATTATCTTAGCTAATATTCTAAAAGCTTACTAAGAGTAGTAGCCACTGAAGAACTTTACTGTTAACTTGGCTCATCATCTCATTAGCACTGCTATTGTTTTCTAAACTAAAATATATCCAAAATTTCATTTCAATCCTTTGTGGAGCAACGGAAGTGTCATTTCCTCCAATAACACACAGGGAGGATCCTCCGACCAGTCGAGGTGACCTAACCTGACAATTAGAAATGCATTAAAATTGATTTGTTTACATAAATAGTGTTACGTCACTAATGTTTCAAGTGTAAAACAAATTGAAAGAAGTGGGGTTATCCAGTATTGCCTGCCTCTAGATGTGATTGTTCAAAAGTTTACTTGCAAATTTAAAAAAAATATTTTTAAAAATATTATTTTGTTGTGCTTCTCAATACAAATTTATTTTCAGTTAACCAGAATTTTGTTTAGATCACTTCAAATACAACAATTTTCTGAAATAAATCCTCTTTTTTAGCCAAGCGAGCACAAGGACCAAAGAGAGTGCTTCAGTACTTTGCCTTTTTGGTCGATGTTTATAGAATATTACAGTCTTGAGCGTAAACATATAAGAAGGTAATATACTGCCTCCATGGTGTATATTGTGATGAGGATATTCTGATTAAAAAATAACAGAGAATAAGCTAGTTGACTCAATTTGGAAACTTGGTTAATCATATACTTTAATATCTATTTTATCCAAAAAAACCTATATTTTAAAGAAAAAGCAATATTTACATTTCGTATTTGGTATTTAATGAATAGTGTCATGGCGTCTTGAATGACGTCACAGTCTGCGAAACAAAACTATTTACATCGGTGTCCAGTGTCAACTGAAACTGTATTAAAGTGAGAAAATATGATAAAAACGAAAAACAATAAGGAGTGACCTGCTCTGTTATATGAAAACGTCAACAACAACAGTGATGTTTTGCGTGGCGTGACGTAACACTTTCTGATTGGTGTTCGCTGTCACGTGACTTAATGCCTATTTTGTTCGAATTGATTTGTTAAAAATATTAATAACCTTTAACTTTCATGAGAAATATACTGGTTTTTCTTATCTTTGTCTCTTCATTTATAATTTGAAACTATAAACCAAGCAATTTGTTATTAGTGGACACAAGCCCATTCTAATTAAAACATTAACGGAAGTAGAAAGTTGAAAATCCAATTTCACTGATCACCCACAATATGTAGTAATGTTGTATAAGAGGAGGCACAGTCTATAATTATTGTTGTTAAATTTGTATTTTGTACGTTTGTCGAATGTAAACGCAGAATTTTAAGGAGTGTATGGTTTTCAGCTATCTAAACACCTATCTTTTAATCAAAATTTCGGTGTACAATAATGATATTAATCTATCTTTCAAACGTACAAAAATAGTAGGGGTTAAAGTATAAAATTGTTGTTGTATAGTAATATATACTTTTATTTATTTATTTATTAAATACTTCCTGCAAATACATTGCATAAGGCGGACTTAATGCCATAGGCATTTTCTTCCAGTCAACCTTGGGGTGATGCAGAGACTTGTGTATGGCAGGTATATAATGAGATAAATTATTTAAATTGTAGTCGGTTGCAAGATGAATACATATATAAATGCAAATATCATTTATACGTACTATATAATACTATAAATATTAAAAAAAACATAAACATAGACACATACATTCATACATACATGCCTGCGTTGATGAACACACAAGGGGTTATTTTGATGACTCCGTCAACAAGTCTCCATAAAGCTTGCGTACTCTGGTCTTAAAGATTGTTCGGTTGGTGGATGACCTGATCTCTAGGGGAAGGGCGTTCCAAAGATTTACCGCTTGGACAGTGAAGGAAGAATGTATGATACGGGAGCTATGTGAAGGACAAAGAAGGAGGAAATTATCAGCGGAGCGAAAGCTTCTGTCATGGTTCTTTTCTACTACTTTTCTACTACTTATTTTCGTGTGAAACTTTTTTCACATAATACCTATGAGGTTCTTCTTTAACAAAATGTGCAACATTCCATTTTCGACTTTCAATGGTTTTTTTTATTCAGCTTAGACGTGAAACACGGATACTTCGAATATCCAAGTAATTTTTTAATACGAGTTCCGACGCGAAACCAACGTGGCAGAAACGGCTCGCAATATCAACGCTGCATTTGGACAGGATACTGCTAATGAACACACCATGCATTTTTGGTTTAAACTCTTTCGTAATGGAAACTTCGAATTGAAGAACGAACCACGAGAAAGACCGCCCACACAAGTGAATAACGCTGAATTGACAGATATGGTGGAAACCGATCCCAGTCAAACTATCCAGGAATTAGCGGCATAGTTTAACGTTATCCTACTTACGATATCGACTCATTTGCATCTAATCAACCTTACCACTAAAAAGGTAATGGTTACTGTTTGGTGGTCTCTTTATGGTGTTATTCATTATAGCTGGCTAAGGTCTGGTCAGGCATTAGAAGCAGATGTTTACTGTGAGGAACTTCGAACAATGATGGCGAAACTGGCAGTGAAACAGGCCCGACTCAAGAATCGATCTTCTTCATATTTCTCCACGATAACGCAAGACCTCAAACTGCACGAGAAACCGTTGTAACTCTACAGGAGCTGCAGTTACAAACCTTACGTCATCCTCCGTACTCGCAAGATCCTACTTCAACGGAGTA